ATTATCATCTCATTCCATCTCATAATGAGATCATATGGTATTGACTGAACTCTATTCTGTTTAGTGGGTGTAATATGAATCTTATTTAGAATGAAATATTTCGCTTCGTAATAATCTGTTCATGTGACTGACAAAATGATGAGAATTCTGATGTTATAGAAGATTACTACTTCTCTTAAGGAAAATCAAGTGAAACCAATCACTGTTGGGGTACTTATAAAACTCTTGTGTTCAATCTTCATGTTTTTTCATTCGCTGGAGTACCTGCAGTTGTATGGTAATCAACTGTGTTTCAATGATCTGCATAATTTTATGGTAAGTTTGCAGCTGTCCAAACACTGGTAACAGACACATATATATGTATCACATTGTATTTTAGCTATAGCTAAATTTATAGAAACGGACTACCTATTACATCTCCTATCTCAATGGATTAATCGCTGTTTGCTCATTCATTTCGTTTGGAATCAGCAAGTAAAACCGAGGTCTGTAATGTTTCATCTCTCTTCACTTATGGAAGGCTGGACGCTAATTTCTTTATTCTATCGATAAAGATCTGTGCGTATATTGTTCGATCCAAGATGAACAATAGTTGGCAGTCTTCTGTAGATACAGCAGCTGAAACAGTGGTCGTCAAAAGGCTGAGGGATCGATTTCCCATATATTTATATCAAATCCACAAGAGCATTTATACTTTCTATTCATTTTTCTACACGTTCGAAAGCGCAAGCATATTGAGTGAGCTAAGCGTATCTACAAGAACGATCGACTCATGGTGCACGATCTATTCCCTGATCATATTTTTCGATCTATCATTCTGCATCAACTTTGTCTAATTGTGGAATAAAAAAGGCTTATCATCTTCCTCAGTGTATCAATCCTGTCATTTACCGTTAAGTAATGCAACTACGTATTGATTGCATTTTCCTAAGGCGTGTTTATGAAAAGGAATATATATGGATGTATAGGCGAAGGAGAAAAGTTGACAGAGAGAAACCACAACAATAAACAAATGCTGTAATTTCATAAAATAGAACAGACTTACTCCATTAATTACCACAATATCGATTGTATGTAAAATTTCATAGTTTATTATTATGGTTAGTAATGTTACATTTTAATCAAAAATGTTTACAGGATGAAGTAGGTGTAATGAGAATGAGGATAATATCAATCCACAACAATAATTATAATCCATCACAATAATGAAAGTTGTGAGGTAGTACGTTGATTTTAAAAATAAGATTGTACCGTGGAGATCGACGTTACATTCTCATTTACGCCTCATTAATTCTGTCGTTCAAAATTTTCGAGATAAATTTTAAGGCTTCTTATGTCACTGGTCTAAATGACTGTTATTAAATGACTTTCTGAGGTGCATGAATTTCAGAAATGCAATACCAACTATTGACTACAGTCTAACATTGTACAGTACACTTCTCTATGTCACAATTACGTAAAGTGTATTCAAGAAGAAATACAAATGCAGTCGAATGACAGCGAGCGAATACACAGCCGAAATAAGAGTCGAATGTAATGAAAAGATTCAGACACATAGATGTATATACATAGAAAATTGAACTAGTCATTGAATGATTAAATCAGCTAACATTAAGGCTTGTAAGGGGGAACAGTTTTTATTGGCTTTACCATCTGATCAAATAAAAATGTTCATGCAGATATGATCATGGTGATAGAAAGATCGAAACAAATTTTTTATGCTGTTTCTAAGATACTGTATGTTATCCAAAAGAGAGCAATAACAATGATTGGTGCAAAATAATAAATGAATTCGTTTGATTTCGTTAGGTTCTCATCAGTTGCTTAGAACCTGACATATCTAAGATTCAACATGATTACAGATATTGACATATTTATGCATAAGAAGGTGATGAACGATGAATAAATGTGTATCATGGTGTAGCAAATATCCCGATAGAGTTGAGACGGAAAGTTCCAGAACATTGACATAGTGATAAGAATTCATGAAAATAGATTAATGGTAATAAAGGAAGTATGAATTAATATCAATCACTTATGTATGATGTAATTGAAACTTCATAAAGAGTTGGAATAATGACGCAATAAATCAATAAAAATGGGGAGGGGTATTGTTACCAGGGTAATAAAAGATTTATTACTGTCTATTTTTGTATACATAGATCTAGTTTTAGACGTTTGATTGCTATTGCTTTGGCGAATTTCAGAATGTTGGAGCTTCATTGTTCATTAATTACTTTGAAACACTTCAGTGTATCAACTTCGTACCCTGTGTCAAGGGGATGTCTTGCGATGGCAATTTGATGTTAAAATCTTCGGAATATGCTTTTTGAATCTTATGTAGGCTCTCCTTTCTGTTCAACCAACGTAACTGCTTGGGAAGATACATGTAAATTTTTATCAACAGTTGGTGGTAACATGAAAAGGATAATTGTCAACCTTTGATTGTGTCAAAGAACACGTTCTTTTGGACAGGACAATCATTTTTGCTGTCGGATAAGTTCTTGTCAATGCAATTTTTACCATTCATAACTTCCTCTTCTAGTGTATCGGCAGTATCTATTCTTTTTCTTTTATCAAACGGTGTTTTGATCAGTGCCTTTTTTGTATTTGATTGGACAAAAGCTATTCAAACTGAGGTAACTCCCAATCTATGTATCTTTCATATAAACAAAGTTGAACTGTATCATCTTTCCTTCATTTTATCGCCATGTCGAGAAAATGGAATTATTTTTCTCTTCCATAATCCGTGGTGAAATCGATATTTGGATGGGCTTCGTTGAAAAACTTTAGCAGATTTGTTGCATGTTTCTGATTATTTCATACGATGGAGGTATCATCAACATACCTCAATACTGATCTATTCAATACCCGCTCGATCATATTTCTTAACAAATAGAATAGTATTCAGAAGTTAAGTTCAAATTTAACGTTCCTCAATTCATACTTTAATGGAGTTATGTTATATTCATATTAAAATGAGGAGTTTGTCTGAAGATAGTTCAATGCACTGACAGCCTTGACAGACAGCACTTGATGCTGCGAAATCAGATGACAGTTTGCCATAAACTCTGACTCGATTAGTAGTTTTCGAGTGAAAGGCCTTCACAAGGTTTATGTACTTCTGAGGTGCGCCTTTCAATGACAGACTGTCACAGAACCTCTCGGACCACAGGGTCAAATGCTGCTTTTTAATCAAGAAAAACTATCATCTGCATACATTCATATATATATATATACCACTCTAATCCTTGTGAAATTGATCCGTTTCACAGACAATGAAATGAAAATGTATTTCAGGTCATTTCTGATTGCCATCGGTTGACCTTCGCCTTAGACTACTTCTGATTAGCTCTTCATATCAACATATCCATTATTCATCATAGTTATCTGATTATGAAAATATGTCACTAATTTTTTTATGTCATTCTAGGATTACGCTTAAGTGATCTGTTTGTAAGTGAATAATTTCCATAAAATACTTTTAGAATTACTGCACAACCTTCATTATTGGTTTGATATTCACTTAATATGATGTGTATGGACCTATCATTTATTTATGACAAATGGTAGGTGCCAATCGGTAGAGGGCCGTGATTATCCAACTACTTAATATATGTAGAACTTGACAGTATGAAATATCTGTAATCTTGAGGGGATTGACGTTTTGATATAATATAATGCGAGTATCTCAAAAACGCTTTGTGAACTATATAGAGGAACGTAATCTGGTCTAATCGAATAAATTTTGGGTTCATCAGACCGTTGTTTCAACCGAATATTGGTTGTTGGGTCTCTACAGTAAGTCTTTTTGTGTTTCCTGTTTTGTCACACTTCTGGTAGATTTACATACACTGGATGAGTTGCATATCGTAAAACATGCAGTGTTTCTCTCAGGTGATGTGAAATTAAACTACAATGGTGAACGTGACAATGCTTGAATCCATGAATCAATCTGGGCTAGGCCACTATTAAAAACCTGGACTCACCAGAAGGCCGTTTAGTATAATACTCATGAATGCAAATGTTAAAATTACTGCAATTTCAACGGATACTCACTCTGACAATATGCTTTTGCTGTTTAAAGTTTTGTTAGGAAGAGAAATGTCTCATATATATTTCATCATTCAATGCCAGAATTAACGCTAACACACGATTGAGAGAAAATCTGAATGACGTTAAATCATATTCTATAAATTCGTAAATTTTCTGGCAAATTAATTTTGTTTTAATAAGTGGAATGATACTTCATTTGAATAAAGCAGTGACATATCAATACTGTGATGCAGATTCCGCTAGCTAACGGGTCTCAAACGTGACGAAGTGATACGTGTCATGAATTTAATTGCTGGCCACTAACACACTCTGCTTTTAGTTTTTGTGACTTTATGGCAATGTCGAAGCAACTCACAAATGATCCACACATAACGTGAAAAAATTGAACACTTTTCAGTCCTAAACACTAACGAGAACATTCGAACACGTAATGCAAATGACTAGTTTCTCACAAATCCATGAGAATAGGACCGATTATTAGCCAAGTTATGTTTAATAATGTGATCAATCATTGACGCAAACACTTCAGTGTGTGTTTCATTCAAATCTCTCATCTTATTACCAATGGTACGACAGAACTGTTACTCGTTCATCATTCACTTTACATCTTTTTTCCAATCATACCTGAGTATCAGCTAGACCATTTAAAAGTAGTTCAAATCCCGAAGGATTAAGGCTTTTTGTTAAATATTGATGCCGCATTCCGACATTTCATTTTAAAACCATGAACAATGTGAATTTCGAATGATATTTCTCAGTATTGAGACTTTAACGGAATGGATATTTACAATGGAGTCTTGGCTGATTTCAATGGTCACATAATCATGTATACACGATAGTGTTAATTGACAAGTGCAATGTTGTAATCTTTTATGAAATTACCCATGTTTGTATTGAATGAAAACAATGACATAAATACAGAAAATTATATTTTAATATTCTTCCAACAAAGTGACATCAGTCATTACATAAACAATCATCAATGTGACATGCGGTTGAATGAAACAATATTCAATGTATTGGAATGATTAACAGAATAGAAAGTGTGTTTACTAAACTACAAAATGAAAAGAACAAAGTGAACTTGATAAAAACAATTGACACGCTGTTTGTGGGGACTATGGATAAACTCTCTTCCTTCTGTGGAACCATAGCCAAATACCACAACCAATGCAAACAATAAGGAAAGATATAATTAATGGTACAACGATATACACGTATTGCGGTGATTTTCTTTCCCCAGTGTCTTCAATTGTATCTGTAGTCATGTTCTGAAATGAACGAAATGGTATAATGATTACAAAAATATCAAATATTTACCAATTGTGATTCAGTGCTTGGATTAGTCTTCTTCGATTCATTTATTAGATCAGTTTCAGTAGTTGCTAGAGTTGTTGTATCTGTGGTCATGTTCTGAAATGAACGAAATTGTATAATGATTACAAAATTATCAAAGATTTACCAAATGTGATTCAGTGCTTGGATTAGTCTTCTTCAATTCATTTATTAGATCAGTTTCAGTAGTTCCTAGAGTTTTTGGTTCAGTGGAAACATTGACAATAGGGAATCACTACACATTCTATGAGCTAAAGAATTAACATCTTTCCAGGTATTAGTGTTAAACAAATCTTCTATTCATTGTTGAATGTCCACGTGAAAATAAAGCATTGCATTCATATGTGCTTCAATATCGTATAAGTTACTGTGATTTATGCACTTGTGGTACACAAGAATTCACTACTAATTCGTAACAATATAAATGTTGTTCCGAAAAAAAAGGATTGCAATATGGAATATTGTAATATTAAGAACAATCTTTGAGGTCTACTAATTGCTTACTTCAACCTGGCAACCATTTACTTTGAAGTCATGAACGTCCTTATCACTTCTAGTAATGCATGCATTGGCTTTCTCACACCAAAGACACTTTGTGCTTGATGTTGTTGCATCATGACATGCTGCAAACGAATTGTGTTTTGGGCAATCTTCAGTGAAAAGAAGAAGGTGATTGCATTTCAAGTTATGAAACAAAAGGTAAATGAATTACAAAAACAAATGTATTTCTAACTCAATAAGTAATTCATTCTCTGGGCATTTGTCATCACATTGCTCAATCCGAAATTCAATACACTTTCAATGTCATTCACATTTCCTGAAACACGTTGCATGTTGAACGATGAAATTTGTCAGGCGAATGTCACGGATGTCAATGACTGTTAATATTAGAAAAGAAATGTACACGCTAGACGGTCAACGAAACTCGTTCCTGCTTCATGATTGAAATGTTTCCTGTATGCCATGTTTTCATATGCAAAATGGAGAATAACATTGTTATTTCTTTCTAACTGACTACTTAGAAGCCGATGCACGAACGTCAGTGGTACTGAGAGAGAAAATTTATTTTGCATTATGTTCATTCCATCGATGAGTAGGATAAAGTGAAGATTTTGGAAATTAAACTATTGTTTGCAAGGCAATTACGGTTTCATGAAATGTTTGTTTAATGTCAATTCCTCGGTGAAATTCGATGTTGCATGTACCAAATGAAAATCAGATAACTGACTGATATCATCTCATCCATCGTCTTGCGACATTTTTTTCAAGTTAATTTCATCAAACTGAATACTTCTATTGTAATTCAAAATGTGTCTATAATCATTTTAAATATTCAACAGTCAGTCGTTGTTTGGTGTAACGTCATTTGAGACTGATGGCTTGATATCATTTAATAACTGTATGAAATCATACATGAAATTTTCAATTTTATGAAATGCAGGTGATGCATTCAAGTGTGAAAATAATGAACTCTGATAAAATAAGGTTTGACATACCCCCAAGAACTTCATATTCCACTAGTGTTCCATTTGTGATCCATTCAGAAGGAACATCTGCTTCAGGCCCTTTATAAACTAATGTGATTAATTGAACAGAAGAAGACAGTTGAAATTCGGATTTCCATTTCGAATATAATATGTTGTCTGTTCTGATTAAAATAAGAAATTGTTTATTATCTGGTTACGAAGGTCAAATAACAACCTTATGAAATATGCTCTAAATCGCCTAGAATTCTGAAAGTGACCGATGTTCAACCACTAACTGAAAAATAATATGGTCAAATCCCTGATTTGTATCACTAAAATGTCAGTGAAACATCTACAGTAACATTAGGACAGTGAGTTTGCCTAAATTATTCGGATTCTGTTTCACACAATTTTCCTCAGAACTTCAACGACACTTCTATCGCTTTATTGTACAAACAAAAACCAACTGAATATTGTAGATTGTAGGAAAACTAATTCGGTCACTATTATAAATTACAGAAAACTTCCACGTTAACATAGTAATGATCGTGTACAAACAGTAGGTAACATCAAGCTAACATATGAATAATCATGTAATTCAATGTAAATTATAAAGCAAACAAAATTTGTTACCGTTTTCACACGCGATATAATAAAAAATCCTCGACAAAACAAGGTTTCTCTCAAATCCACTAGGAATCTGAAAAGAAGTAATGGAAGTCTGAGTCAAGATCTGTCAATACAAAACCATCTATATCAAAATCAACAAAACATTGAAGCAATGTGTCGTCATTCACATTATCTTATTCAAAGACAACTAAATACACTTACAGTAAGCATACTGATCTCCTCGGCTCCCTAAGAAATATACTCCATCTAATTAACGAAGATATTCTGACTCACCTCAGTTGGCAACTTCAGTGAAGTTCGGTGAACGATCTATTTATCATGGAATGAGGCTATACATAATAAGATGAACATCTACGTCCGTTGGTAGAAGTATGATTGTGAATAACTGCAATGTCGCTGAAGGTGAATTTGTTGTTCTGTTGTGGAATTGTGTTTATGTGCCTACTTATATCAATTGCCGTTCATTTCTCAACAGCATTCATTCCACAATTTGTTCTGATTACCTCCAAACAAACAAGACGGATTGAGTGCAACACTCATAAAATTTATCATCTCACCAGCCATTTCTAGTCATCCAGTATTTATTGTATTGCAAATCGATCAAGTTGTATATAATGACATTCGAACAAATAGAATCTGGGAAGCGATCAGGATTTTACCAAAATCTCTCTCTTGAAATATTCCATTATGAACTTTTCTCACAACTGGTCTATGAAAGTCTGAAAATCACCGTTCACGTACAGAAATCTGACAAACACTCTTTGTCCTAGATTGGCTCGAAGGTATCAGAATTTCTTTACATATTATATCACTTCATTGTTGTTCATTATTTTAAAAAGCGTCAGAATAAACTGTGTCATGAACGGATTGTGAATAGTTTCATAAGGTTTATATTCACAATACAAAATGTTGGTGTCCTTTTATCCTTTTCAATATATTTCAATGTATTTGACAGTACTGATATGCATGAATAATCTATTCATGTGCTCAACTTACGTTCTCATAATAGAAATATATCTTCCCATTCGAGTGTATCAGGTGCATTGCGCTCAATGTTTCATCTGCAAAAAAGAAAACTATCGATATTTAAAATTTCAAGGATTAGTGTCGAGCATGTCATTGATAGATGTGACATTGTATGTGCCTACACACACAGGAGGTTCAGATTTTAGGAGATATTTACTGTGTTATTGCAAATGTTTTCGTGATGAAAATAATCTCGTGAATGTTGTGTAGATCAAATAAGCATGTATCCTACATCGTGAATGTCAGATGCTTAGTTTGTTTAGTTTACATATTCATCTAGTTCCTAAATAGATCTGATAGTTGGAGTAGTATTCGAATTGGTGGAATATTTCTTATATTTCAGCTGATAAAATTGACTCTAGGAGCAAATGAAATGAGCTGCGGTTTGTTTGTTTTTTTATAATTCCAGTTTTATATTTTATTTAGTTATGTAACAAATTGATATATCAGTCGATCAAATGACTTTGTCCACATTATGTGTTAAAGATGAGAAGTGAATATGCTTAATACATATTGTTTTAATGATCTCTTAGTTTGAAAGAATAAAAGCTGAGAATTATCTTATAATTATTGAATATCCAGATGAATGTGGTGTATACAGAAATGATTTTCCGATGAACATATATGTACACACTTGTCATCATGTTCCTTTGAAACCTGTCAATGAAGATGAATCTCTGTATTCGTTTATGTACAAATGAAATGAGAATATTACCTAATGTATCCAAACGTATTTTAATTATTCTTTAAGTTTCAATAAAATATGTACGGACAATCAATGGATTCTATGTGTATTTAGCCTTTGATTTTGTAGAATGGTTACACTGCAATACTTTCGTCAGTTTTTTAAAGACGAATTCAATTACTCAAACGGAATAGAAAACAGTTGAGTAATATCAATCAATGATGATGATGATGTAAAGTGTTCATAGTTCACATGTGATCAAACAATCATGGATGTGGATACATACTTTTATTATCAATGTTTAGATGACAAGACTTTCTGACAGCAAAATATTCCCCTGAAATAATGAAATTAAAATAAATTTGCGTTCACATATCTGTAAAATGAACAATGACCTCTTTCAATAAAAAAAGTGTTTGAACACAAGTTATGATGTTCCTCTTCAAGATTGAAGTGAACCAATTCAACTCAATTAGAGTCTCAATGATCTGCATCATTATTTCACCAATATGATGAACGTTTGACTAACTAAACAACCGTTAATATCTATTCGACAATCAACATACATAAACATTTTGTGAAATTATGTTATTTCAATTGAACAGTGTTCTCTTAACTGAACTCATTATTTCCCGGAAATGTTACCCCGATGACATTAATTTCGGTAAGTGAATAATATGAATACCCTCCATCTTGATATTCTAGATGTTCTAGTTTGAATCAATCATGTTGTTCTAGCACATTATTCGTGATTGTTAACTGATTTGATGTTTCAGATGGTACATGGGTTCAAACTTCATGATCAATCGATTATGATAAACAAGAATGTGTTTAATACCCAATAGTTCTACGACAGTTAAAAAGAGGGACTGAATTTATAAGAACCAAGTAAGTGACAGAAAGATTTGGAGGACATCCAATATAAATTATTGATGGTTCATGTGCTTCAATAATTCAAACTGATTTCTCACACAACATCGCTTATTGTTGCATCTGTGATCAGCTAGATTCGTTCAATCTATCAATAAGTGTCGTATTGATGAAATATCAGTTTTATGGTAGTTTGAACAGATTGAAGAGTAGATAATTTCCGCCTAACCAAATACATTGTATGGTTCATTATTGCCACTCAATCAATTTGTGTCTATTTTGAAGTGAATCGCTGTTTTATTTAACATTTTCCCTCCACAGTAATGAATACATGTTGTGAACACAGTTTAGGGCATGCGATCACACAAATAAAATAATCATTGTGTACTGACCAGCTCTCATGAAATAATCAATTTAAACATTGAATTATTTATGCAAAATAAAAATGAGTAATGTAAAACATAAAACAAACAAAACTTCACTGAATAATAGTAGAACTCACCCCCATTGAAAATCTCAGTTTTACACACAAAATTGCTGTTGATATAATTTGCAATTGCTCTATAAACATTTTGTACTTCCACAGAAATTTTACCTGTGTTTATCAAATGAAAATATACAATTTGATTAATAATCTATAGTGAATGAATGAAACACTTTGAAATTCACTGGAGACTGGAATGAATTGCATGAACAGTAATTAGTTTACTACAACGGTACAACTTGAACAAGGAAATACATTAGTAGATGTATTGAATGTGAAACAAAAAATGCCTAAAACTGATCTACTGATGTAATGAAAGCCACTTTGATTCATGGAATTGAAATGTGAGCAAACAAAACTTTAGTTCAAGGAAAATAATTCTCTTACCTTCATTATTTATAATAAATATGCTGAGATCAGTACCGTAAAATTTGAAGGGGAATTTCAGTTTTATTTCCTAGAAATATACAAACATATGGATTATCATCTCCGTTGGAAAATGTCGTTAACTCACCTTCTCATCATCCAATTTCTCAAACTTTTCACTAACAATTGGAGAGGCCTGATTAGAACGAATGAGCTGGGAATAGTGATAAAAATGAGACTGAATATTTGTAATGAAACTTGACTGATCACTTACATATTTATATATATCACTTTGCAAAATTATTTTTGCTTGACTAAGTAAATGATCGTTTTTACAAAATTCATTACAGTCGAAAATTTCCCATGTATGGACAATGATTGAATAAATTGTTACCAACTGACCAAATGAAAACGTAGATCTGAGATGGTTCAAATGAATAGAACAATGTTATCTCATTAGATCAAATTGAAATGGGTATAATACAATCATTTGACTTAAGTATACAGTCAATACTCACATCATTTTCTCGTTTTAGACGTTGATATAACGTGTTGAGTCTTATATAGATTTTTTTGGAAGTGTTTGTACGTTTCTTTCAGATTGGATGACTCAAATTGACCATTAAGATCATGAAATTTCATAAAATCATTTCATTATTATTAAACATACGTGCAATAGTCCTACACTGATTTTGGTAATATAGTCTGATATTGATCCATAGTTAATTGAAATTCCTGACCCGACAATTGATGAAAACTATTTTGGATAGGATTAACACTATTTTAAACTAAGTAATTAGTGCTCATATTTTCATGAACAAACATTGTGTGTTACTTGTAATCAACTATGAATTGGTTGTCGACGATGCATAGCTTTGATTTGATTGGTTAATATCAAAGTAGCACACACTGGTTTCATTAGATGTCCAAAATTCACATTTTTATGTTTAAATTTTATTTCAATAAAATGAATTTTTCATTGGTTAAAATGATGGATCAATTGAAGATAGATCACTATTAAAAACCTAGAAGCACTTGACGGCAGTTAGTCAGCAGTGCACATCCACGGTCCCGCCTCCCCCCGAATCCGCACCCTGGACCTATCAGTATCTCGCACGAGTGCCTTACCATTAGATCACTGAGCAGGCCAGCATCTAACGGCGTTCACGTCTAACTTCAACCAATCCACGAAGTTGTGCCGCCGTCATCATTGTCTTCAGTGAGTTGATATCGGATAACAGACCTGGTAGCGGCTTCTCACTAGAACTCCATCAGTGTCACTTGAAGTCAGTCACTAGTGAGCAAATGATTATTAACAGAAAGGGTTTCATGCAAGCGACACTGATAGGTACTGGTTTCGAATAACACGGGGGAGAGAGATCGTGGATGTGCACTGCTGAGGAGCCCCTTACTAAGATGAATCGGCCGTCTAGTGCTCGCAGGTATTCCATGGTGGTATAAATTCAATTGACTCATCGTTACGATCAGTAGAGTGAATAACAGTCTATACTTTCACTAATCATTTCATTAGAAAAAGCCAACAATATTTATGTTTTGATTACATATGTAAAATAGTGATTCTCGATACTATGAAAGTAAATTGTGCACTTCAAAAAGATGTTGATAATAACTAAAGAAA